ACGATCTTCATGTAACTTTGAGTTGAAATCTTCGACAGTTTCGAAGGTGAATGGTCGAACGAGTGCTAAGTTACTGTGTAGCGCGACCGGCACTGGGATAGGAAAGTTACAAACTCGTCTTGGTCCCACGGGATGATTTCGAGATGTCCATCTCGATTCCACATAAATAGTTTCGATGAGCTGTCGAAGGTACGGCTCCCACTCCATGGATCCATTCTCTACCAAGTAGTGCATTAAAGTTGGCGTGCGATTGGACCACAACAAATACGGTAGGCCTTGAGTAAGTACCTACCTTCACGTCTAAAGCGATCATACCCTCGATCCCGATGTTTTTCCGTTGAAATCGGAAATCATAATGTTGTGTTTGACTAGATCTTTAAGCTCGATGCCAAACCTCTTAAGCATGGAGATTGGCAATATGTTTCATCTGCTGCGCCACCATCGATAAGGACCTTGTTCACCATTTGTCCTTGGATCTCGATGTTTAATAGTAAAGGCTTCAAGTGGAACCTCATTTCTTCGGATGGAGGGTCGATGAAGGCAGCATCTCTATGAGGTATTTCGCACGATGCCGAGTTACCCATGTCACCTTTGGCCTTATGTTTTACGAATAGAAGTCATCTTCTCGATTAACATCACTCTGTTCTTGATATTCCTTGTATTCGTTGACATATTCCGCGGGTAATATCGATATCACTCCGATTTGATGTTCGTTCCGAGTTGCCTTCATTCTTGTCATCGAAGAATTCCCTTGAATATTGGCTTTCCATAGGTACAATATTCTCTTCAAAGTTTCTATAATTACTCTAGTAAGGGATCCTTCCTCCTCTTCTCCAGGGCCTTCCTCGGAATCTTCTTGGGAATGTTGGGAATCCAGTGTTTGATCCTTCATCGTATGATAGTCTCTCAAAGACATCACTACTTTGAAGTCTTCCTCTTCCTCCTCGAGAAGGATACATCTCTCTTCTAACCCATTGCCTTTGATTCCCGCTAACACCAGAACCAACAGATTTATGTTGACTTTCTTTGATAGTTGGTCGGGCCGTCTGCTCCACTTTATCATTTTTCCTTATGTTTTGACTCTCGATCTTCTTTGTTTGTTCAATTTTGAAAGCTTTGGCAACCGATTTATCGAAAACCGCACTGCACTGTGGGCATAGCGACACGTCTTCGTCTTTCTCTTTCTTCCTATTCAAAAATTCAATGAGAGAGTCTCCCTGCTCGAGGGTATATCTCTTTCTCAAATTCTTTTTCGAATTCGCTCAAGTCGAACTCCATATCTTCCTCCGATACGTCCATTCCGATATGCTTGGGATCGATGTCTTCGATAACATCGACCATGCCTATGAAGGTGGCATTCATCGATCCTAACGTCATCCTTCATCTCGGTTTGGGATTCAATATATCCCACTTGGACTTGAACGGACTCGTGTCCACTTTCATCGCTGTCTCCCCAAACTTCAGTCTTCCTTGGTCGATTGCATCTTGAACCGTGTTCCTGAAATGTATACAATTGTTAGTCCGAGTGTCCATAAATATTGTGAAATTTACAATATTTTCGACCACCCCTTTGTTCTGCGAGAAGGCGGTTTGTGATCTTCGCTTAACTTAATCTGTTTATCTTTTAGTAGAATGTCGAAGATCTTATTCGCTTTTGTTACATCGAAAGTATAGGTTCGATTTGCCATTTTATCTTTCACTTCATTCTTTTGCAACAATTTACAAGTATATGGAGCTCCTACTTTGAGCTACTGCTATATTCACTTTCTCATCAACATTTTCCTCGATATCATTTTACGTTGAGGGATCTACTTCATACACATCATTTATATAGGCTATTCTTTCTTTTTTCACGGGTTTCTCAAATTTCTTGTGCCTTTGTTTCTCATACTCGATTTGTTCCACTCTCCTCACTTTATCAGCTAAGCTGAGCCATGTCATTTAATGGCAAATTTACCAACTTTTTCCTAATCGAGAATTCTAAACCTGCGAAGCCATCCTGACTAATTCGTATTCGAGGAATTTGAGTAAAACATCTTGATTTCATTTGTCTAAATCGATTCGAGATAATCATCTATGTTTTCATGATTATATCGTTTTATGTTCATCAAATCAATGAGACTTACTTGAGTTTCTCCTCTAAAGAATTGTTCATGGAAATTTCTTTCTAACTCGCAACCAATTATATATCGAATTGGGTGACAATGAAGTAAACCAAGTGAAAGCATTCTTAGTCAAGGAACTAGGGAAATACTTCATTTTTAACTCTTCACTCATTGCTAAGTCCACACTTTCTATCGATATCGAGCTACATGCTCGATAGTTGATTCACCAACTTCTCCAGCAAATTTAGTGAATTTGGGTACTTTGTATCCTCGAGGCAGTTCGTCTCGAGAATCGCATTTGGAAAAGGAGACACAAAATATGTCCGATTGGGTGGTCTTAAATCAGTCCCTTGGAAATTCATCCTTTGTCCTAACATGTGATTATATTGCGTATTATTCGATTATGAATATTTTGAAATCCCTCATTCAGATTTCAGTAAATATCATTCCTCACATGTTGATATTCGTTCCCCATTTGCTGATATTGATCATTGTTCCGATTCCTTCTTAATAAATAAGGGGGATTAATATTCGATTGGCATGATTCTCCATCCTCGTTTGTCGAGGTACGACCAATGCGTCTCCAATTCGAGACATTTGATCCGCTAATATCTCGAAACTAGCGATAGTATTTTGAACTAATGGGTTTAAGACCGTAGTCAACTCGCTGTGATAACATATTCACCATTTCAAAATTACTCTCATCCATTTGTTGTCTAAGTATTCCTAGGGAGTTACTTGGAAATCCCAGTATTAGTATTTTCGATATTCTCGAAATTAGATCGATGATAGTCCCTATCAAATGCATATCTCCCATGATCGAGATTCCCCTAGGATCTAGATTTGGAGGTGTCTGTTGTATCCCTAAGTTTGGTCCATTCCACTGAATTTTGTGATATCACTCGAATTTTGAGATGCCCCTAAATGTGTAGATACTCCAAAGTTTTGTGGCATGCCTAGGGTTTGAAATGTGCCTACATTTGGAGGCATTCCTAAGACTGTATCGTGAATTTCTATGTATCGATGAAGTGCCGGCTCCATTCATGTTATTGGGTAAAAAACCAGGTGGTCTTACACTAGTATATGGCCGGCATATGTGGTTATGGGGTTTCCCATAGTTTGCATATTATTTGATATTGCTATACTAGACCCTACATGGGTGTTTGTCAATGTACCGGATTTTGTTCATGACTTGCTTGGTATCGACGTGCTCACGGTTGTCGACACTTCACGGGCATACTCCCATTATGCCCTTGTCCCCGAGTATTTGGTGGGAGCACACCACTTAGACCCTCATTGTTATTCCGACTACTTGATGAATTCGACTCATTCTTATAACTCTCCCACTTCTTAATCTCATACACTCTCGAACTAACCTCTTTTGTGTTTTTTCAACACAAGTCCCCTACTGGCGCGCCAATTTGTTTCTGGTGGAATTTTGATCGATTTCGATCCTAAGGGTATTTTGGTCCTAATCGAAATTCTACCATGTAAGTTCTTTTTTACTTAGGCTAGCAATTTGATTTTCAATCGAAAATGTGTATGAGAGTCGAAAACTATAAGTATCAAGAAATACTATTTTTGGTATTTTATGTCTAAAATGCTCGAATCAAACAAAGCGATAAAGTATCGAATCGAGAAAAGAGTATTAAATTGCAAGAAAATGCGAAAACCCCAAATTTGCAAGAAATTAAGTTTGCAAGAGAAATAAAGGACAGGAAATCGAAATGTGCGGGAAATGTAAATTGCTAAAACCCATTAAGATTGCATAAAAAGTAAATAACGGAAATCGAAATGACATTGAATGTAATATACAAGAATATGAAATTGCTTGAATTGAAATGGCTCGAAAGTAAATTACCAAGGAAAATAAAGAAAGCGATAAATGTACTCCGTGAGCGGGAAATCCAGTTGCCGGAAACTTCATGGTGTTCGTCGTTCCTCCGGTAGACGTTTCACGCTGCGATTCTGCGCTCCGCCAATTTTTGCTCCCCCTTTTGTTCCTTCCTTCTTTGCTCTATTTATAGGGCATCCTTTAAGCCTTCTAAGAGCAGTTAATACGACTGCTACCACGTTCTACGTGCGTATGACAGTTTATCTTCTAGTTTCCCACGATCTCACGATCTCCAACTTTTACCCATGATTTCAAAGCTGCTCTCTATACGTGCATTCGACTTACTTCCCTTCACGATTTGGCCAAAATCTCGATGTCCCCATTGGCTTTCTTTATTCTCGATTCTATATCTTTCGAGAACTTCGAATTGCTTCACGATTCCTTTTTAATCCTGATCTTATATGACTTAGTTTTTATTTGACAACAGTCATTTGATTACAATTCATTCGATTCTCGATTGTGTTTCTCGATGCTATATGCTACGTATTTCTAATTAGACATCGAATGAACTTTTGTTTATCTTATCGAGTCATATTTCTTCCTTTCGATTTCGATCGCTTTTCTCGATTTGCCACTAACACTCCTCTTCAAGTTTTTCTATTGAAGATAACGTTTGGAAGAAAATTTTTTAATAATTTTGAATTAATTCCTCTATTATATTAAAAATTTTCAAGTGTTTGAACGGTTCGAGTTTTTTTTTTCATTTAATCTATCTGTATTTATCTTTTTTATTATATTAAAAAATTTCAAGTGTTTGAACAGTTCGAGTTTTTTGTTTTCATTTAATCTACTGTTTAAACAAACTACAATGTTCACTTATTAACAAAATAAAACTGTCACAATTCTCTTATAACAAACACCTAAAAAAATGGGAGTTAAAAAAGAAAAAAAAAACCACTGAAAACTGGTTGGACAAGATCTATGTTTTGGTATCGATATTCAACAATTGGGACGTGTAGAATATGTTTTCTTGTCGATTCTTTATTGATGAAACTTTACGATCAGTTGAACGGATCAAATTCCTGAACGCCTCCCTTTTCAAATCGGATCCAATTTTTATTTTTTTTCACAATCTAGTCACCAAGGTAGCTACTTCACCTACTAGAGCCACCACTTGAAGCAAATAAAAAAGCAGTTAAAATATACAAAAAGCAGTGCAGAACGCGAATATTCATGCACAAGAAGAAGATTCATTAATTTCAAAATGTTCCAAGAGTGGAATCAAAACCTCAGTAGCAACGTTGTTTTTTCCTCCAAAACAGTTTCCTCATCTTCCAATTCATAGACTACTATGTGTGATTGCAAAAGTATATATGAAGCCATATGGACCAATACCAGTGTGAACGTTATTGTGGGTGTGTGCTGGGAAAGAGAGGAAGGAGAGAGACAGCGAAAAAGATCTTGCATTGAACTGTACAGAAACATGACAATGATGGTCTCGGTTGTACTTGGAAGCACATAAAGGGAAAGTGCATGGTTTAACAGTCCAGTGGAAACTCACCTCGGGATCTTCAACATTCATCACTTTGTCTTTCCCTAGCGTAACAAAGCAAACTAAAGAGACCAAATTTTGGTGTGGACCACATGAAGAAGGAGAAGCCATAGCGTTAGAGACCCCAGTGTTTATCTTCCACCTTAACTTTTTCTTCCTCTTTTTGCTGCACTGTCTTGGAGATACCCTCTTGACCACATGCTTTCTTACAACTAGCTACCACCCTAAAACACCCCTTCCTCCATCTATAACTGTTCCCCTCTTTGCTTTATCTCTTTCTTTTGTGCTATCGATTTCCTTTTCTTTCCCCATTTTTCAACATGGATATTGTATACAAAATAAAGTTGCGATTGCTTCTGTTTAGTTTTTTGCTGCCAAGTCAGTGTAGATTCAAGGTCACATATACATTAATTCACCACACCACTTACATTTATATATATAAAGGTTTTATGCATAGAAAATAATGGTGAGATGTCAGAGTATCTTGATCTGTTCTTCGTGTATATGTATATTATTAGAGATTTCATAAATGGATCTCATGGATCAAGGATCAAGTTATTACTTGAAAAACTATTGTAAAAGATTATTCTTCCTTTTAATACTACATTCTTATAATATAAGAGTAATAGGTGTGTTACTTTTTGGAGTTAATAAAAGGTTTAAACGGTGATTATATATATGAGAAGGTGTTAATATGTACCCGTTAAGCAACTTGAAATATATATATATATATATATATATATATATATATATATATATTATTGAGATGTGCAAAAATACACTCTTTATAATTTTTTAATTGGTATTTTTAGGACATTAGTTAACAAAACCCTATATATAGATTTTAACTAATAGCAAATTATGTGTTGGTTAATATATTGTAATATATTATGTTATTTTTTGTGTAATGTTTGAAAATAAATGTTTTTAAAATACTTTTTGAAGTTAGATTTTGTAAGAGATAAATAGTGGTGACAGAGTTGATAAATAATCCCAACCAATGGCATAATTATAAAAAGGACTAATTAATTTTAAAAATATATTGAAACTGATAAAGGAAACCGTTGTTGCCGCAATATTTGGGTGGTCTAATAATATTGAAATTTATGTAAAGCATAATTAGTAATACTCGTAATTCATGACTTTGTCTTTCCCAAGATAACAAAGCAAACTAAAGAGGAGAACCCATTCTGGTGTGGACCACATGAAGAAGGAGTAGCCATAGCGCTTGAGACCCCAGTGTCCGTGTTCCACCTCAACTTGCTCTTCCTCTTTTTGCTGCACTGTCTTGGAGATACCCTCTTGACCACATGCTTTCTTACAGATTATAACTACCCACTACTCTAAAAGACCCTTCCTTCTATCTACATGTGTTGCTTTATCTCTTTCTTTTGTGTTATCAATTTCGTTTTCTTTCCCTGATTTTCAGGTTTCACCTTAGATCGTTCTGTTCCCACTCCAAAAGATTCAGCATAATTATCGTTGGACAACAACAAAATCTGATCAAAACCATTTTATTTACTCAATAATCATACATCACTAGCAAAACCTCTAAGAAAGGGGAAGAAAACTTCAAAAATGATTCTGTAATACGTATATTGAACATAAGTATTACACTATGAGGCCATTGGCAATGGCGCGGTTAGTACTAACATGAGTAGTTTCATACACTGGTAGTTCCTCACAATATCTGTCACTTCCAAACACAGCCAAATGATCAAGTTCGAAGAGATCCGAACTTGCATAACTCGATGCATCATCATCGTCCTCGCCATCATAATCAACTTTACTCCTCAAAGACAACTCCTGCAAAACCAAATCATTGCTCTTCTTCGGGTTGTGTCGGTACTCTCTCAAGAACCCTTTAGAACCTTCTTTCTCTTCACACAAACGTTTGTGCCCACAGGGTCGACTATCTTCACCCACGATCACACTCACCGGGTAAAAACGCACACTTTGCTTCACCCCATTGCGCAACCTCTCTCTTTCTGAAGACATGGTTTTGCTCAGGCAAGACCGGGACAGTGAGGAAGCAGAGGAACACGCGGAGGAATAGCAGGAAGAGGAAGAGGTGGACGAAGAAGAAGAAGCGTGTTGCACTTCGCCGCACGTGCGGGAACTCGTTTTCTTTGTGTTCGCGAAGAGCGAGTTGAGGAAACTCGTGACTCGACCACCGGGAGAAATCGGTTGTTTCACTTTTTTAAGGTTGTTGTAAATCTTCAACGCCCGCGACTTGGATTTTATAAGCTTCTCCTCGTCGCGAACCGCCACGTGTCGTTCCTCTGAGATGTGGGAGTTCCGACACAAACCCTCGAACACGCGCATTCCGTATCTCTCCGACCGGAACGACGCGCTTGCGCCGACGAGCCTCGCGCGGGGCGCGAGACACGATTCGCGTGAGATGGACTCGTTGTCGGAGGAGGAGAATCCGAAGCTGGAATCTGAGGAGACCGAGGTGGAGCTGAAGAACAAAACATCCTCGTCGCGGTGCAATTTCTTTTTGTCGATTTTTGCGCCAACAAATTTTCTATCTGTCTCCGTGGATTTCGAGCTGCCCCGACTCTGCTTCTTGCTGGTGCTTATTGTTGTGTGTCTGTAGAATTTGGTTTCGCCGTTTTTTCTCTCTCCCTCGTCGATGGAACGGTAAATTTGGTCGAGCAGAGTGGTGGAGAAAGATGGAGTTAGGAACTTCTTGTTGTCATCTCTTTGTGGCATGTCTAAATTGTACATGTTTGTAATGTGATGCAATAATTGAAATCAAGGAAATTGTGAAATAAGATTAGAAGGAACAAGGTAATGGTTATTGAAATTGAAGGTGGGTAAAACGATGAATATGGAGATAAGGTAGTGGTTTGGTGCGAGTGAAGAAAACGAGGAAGAGAGAGTTTGCTCGTCGATGGGATTGAGAATTGGGGGTGGAGCGAGAGTGCGAGTTTATAAAGGGTCGAGGGAGTGAGGGGGAGAGAGTGTGCTCACGCGCATGAGTGTGAGTGTACGTGGTGATCAGCAAAAGCAACCATACGTCCCTACCCATGACCAGTTTTTAAAGCTTATAGTATATATATGCTTATGGTTATTCTCATATTATGTCAAAAAAAAGAAGAAGAAAAAAACATAATCTAGTGCACTTTAAATTGCATACACAGATCCCTAGTTACCTGCATTTCTTGAATTAGTTACATGCACCATATCTTGTGAATAATAAAGAAATAGTAGGAATGAAATTTTGTGACAAGGTGATGGCAAGACTAATAAAGTGATTATTTTCAACAAGGTGATGACAACCTCATGCATAACGTAATGAGCTTTAAATATATATATATATATTGGAGTCTTCATGTGAGTAGGTCATTGTGTCTACTAACAAAGAAACCAACCGACAAGATCATTCTCATGGTCGCACGCCCCTAACTACAGATTTTCTAAGCTTCATGCTTCATTTTGCCTAAGATACATAATCTTCATTATCATGATTTTTGGCCTTTTATACGGAACTAGGTAAACAATATTTGTGGAGAAAAAAAACATATATTTAGTAGAATGCATATTTTGTTCATTAACATTACATATGTTTGTTTTTTTCGGAGAGGAATTAATGTGTTATATTTGGTATAATAAAACAAATTCCTTTTTAAGTGAACGAGGATACAAAGAAATGAAGAATAAGGTGCAGTCATATTTCATTCATTCTTATGAAAATAAGATGAGATGCTTTATTTTTTTATTTTTTTCAAGTTGTGGGAAATAGTTCTTATTGTTTATATATGGTTAAAGGTAAAATAAAATAAAAAGGTCTAAATGGAACAATATTTTATTCTTTGTTTTGGCTTGGTCATTATGACATTATTAGATTCAATCTTTAGAGAAATTAAAATTAAGGTTAAATTAACATGTACATATATTTATGATAATTCTTAATATGTGGAGGGAGGCAATTAAACTGGTGGGGATTATAAAGTTAAAAATGTATATGTGACTAGTTATTACGAAATGAATGAGTACGAACGTATATGCGAATTAGTGACGAAAAAAAGTCAAACTGAATAGAAGTAATATGAAAAATTGTCGATAAAATTTAATTTGTTCAACTATAATATGTTGACTTATATTTTTTTTAGATTTCATTTATGTTACAGGGCTTTTTTTCATGAGTCATGAGTAGGTTATATAATACGTCATATTGTATATTTGGTATTTTTAACTAAATTTTAATAACTATTTATGAAATTACATGAATTTAATTTATAATTTATTTAAAATTATTAAATAAAACTTTAAATAAATTTAATCATATTTTTAAATTATAAATTACATGAATACAATTTAATAAAAATTTTGTTACATTAGTATTTATTCTGCTAAACTCATGAGTGATATGTTACTTAAAAATAGAGATTAAGATAATTTATATGTTTTTTTCTTCTTAATTTACTCATATATACATCTTTTAAAAAAATTATGTTAAATAAAAATTTCAAAATAACAATACTTCAAATGTGATAATTAATAGCTATTATCATATCACGTATAAGATTGGATAATATTTTTTAAACATCAAATTTGATCATCAATATATATATATATATATATATATATATATATATATATATATATATATATTTTAAGTGCACTTGTAAATATATAAATAAAAAAAATATTTTTTTAAATAAATATAAACTTAAAAAATTCCTAATTTTACTGTTATTACTATTATTATTTATTATATTTTTTAAAGACTAACATGGCAATGAGATACAATCTTAAAGTCTAAATTAATTACTTATTTTATTTTTTCTAAAATACAATTTTAGCCTTACTATTTTTCTCCATCTTCAATTTTAGTACAAACAAATATGGCATGTTATTACTTTTCATTCTTAGATCAAATTAGGTCTTACAAATGAGTATTATTTTCCCATCTTTTGAAGCCTTTCATCAAATGGTGTGGTAGCTGAATGTGCAAGCTATGGTGGTTACTTAATGAATAAAAACTACAAAGTCAGAAATTGGAGTGGTAGAGAAGGATAAGAAAGAGATAAAGCAAAAACTTTAGCCTTTGATCACTTTCCCTTTCCCTTTACCATCACATTCCATCACATTCACACGCAACATTTCTTGTGATTACCATCTCCAATCTCTTATCTTTTTTCTTTCATATTTTCATCATCTTCACCCTATATATGTGCTTCGGGCTTCACCCTAGATCCTTCTATTCCCACTCCACAAAATTAAGCGCAGTTCAAAAGTGCAACAACTAAACTTACACACTTTACATCTATTTGATTTTTTTATCTATCCTTATAAAAGTCTATTATCATTTAGAACCTATTGATTTTCTGTACATTAACCTTTTCCAATTCACACTTACAACCATGTGAAGCTAAAAGCAATCAAGTATCATCATTTTTATAGTGTTAATTAGTTCTTAAAATATACTTGTGGGTATTTAACGCTGGGTTGATAATATATTTTCGACAACAAAAAATATTTTATCAAAAAATGTTTTACATGACTACAAAATATTTTTTACGTCATTTTTTTAATTAGTTATTATCTCAGTGTAAAATTTAATTTATATCTCTTTTAGATTCATCTTCCTCGCACACCCCCAATTGAAGTAAAACATTTGAGCATCTATTTTGTGATTAAGGTTAATATTGTATATCTCTATTTTTTATTAAAATTAAAATTGTGGTTGTTTTTTAATATCTTAATCACAATAATTTATAAATATCTTTATTGAATTATTATTATTATTATTGACTATCAAGATGGATCAAAGACAAAAGAGAAACAACTTAAAGAAAGAAATATTGAAATAGAAAAACAAAAAGAAGAAGAAAGAAGTCATTTGTCTATTATTATCTATTCAACACAACCACCATTAATAATAAAAAAATCAATGTAAATTTTGATATATTTTAGGCAATGATAATAACTCTAACGTAAATATATGTTTCTCACATGAGGTTGAAGCTTAATTAAACTTAAAAATGTCAAAATAATAATATTACTTGTTTTAAACTCTAATCTCATGAGTTTGTCTTAAAAAAAATATATATATCAATGGATTAAATAAAAAATATATACATTATCATTAAAGTCAATTTCTAAACCTACGATAGACATACAAATATATAGAAAAAAATAAAATTATTTAGTCAATGTCCTGCTTAATTAAAAAAAACTTCTATGAAGAAAACCTCGGAAATTTTATCGAATACATATAATGAAAAAATTATTCACTCTATTCCAAAATCATCTCTTTGGTGCTTGTCTAAATTGTACAAAAGTTTTACATGTGATCGATGCAATAACCGAAATAAAAAAATAAAAAGTAACTAGGCAGTGATTGCTGACTGAAGATGTGTTCCTAGTAACTAATCATGAAATACTTATTTAAATATTTTATTATATTTAAGGATCTAAAGTCAATTTTATAAAGTTATTTTAGTCTTTTTAAATGTAATGTTTAAGGAAAAAAAATCATATTTTACTAAATTTAAAAGATAAAAATATTGTTTTAATCTATAGGATTAGAAAGGATTTATCCAAATTTATGAAGAAAAAAAAACATAATATTATCTATTTAAATTAATTGTTTCTTATTAGGACTTAACACAATTTCATTATTATTATTATTATTATTTAATTTCTAATAAAAAATGTATAATTTTACAATGACTAATTTTACTCTTTGATTTGAAAATTTGGTATTGTACATAAGTAATTCACTTTTTTTTTTTTAATTTTCACCTCTATTCATTTTATTATATTTATATGATTACATGTTTCACTAAATTTTAATCTCATCAAATGATATGGATATATAATATAATAAAAAACAATTCATTTTAAGTTAAGTATTCATAAAAAAATATTAAAAATTTGTAATATGTTTCATTAAGTCCCACATCTTGTGTGTTTGAAAGTTGTTTAGAGAAAAGTATCTATAAATTAAACTTATTTAATAAAATAAAACTTAGTTGGATGGATCAATGAATGATTCATAACTTTGGAAAGATTTGGTCTATCGTCTTCTCATTAAATAAATATTGTATCAAAATTTTATTTTATTTTTATATTTTAATTTTTTTTGTCCTCTTGATTTTTTATGTATACAATTTTTTGTTTTATAATTTAATTTTAATTTTGAATTAATTATACTTTTAAGTCTTAGTGATTCTTATTTTGATCTTCAAAATGTTGAAAATTTTATTTTATTCCTTTTAAAATGGAAAATATGTTTTTAGTATGTGAATTACAAAAATTAAAATTAAAATTATTTATTAATAAAATTCAACTAGTTTATTTTGAGTTCAAATAATTTTTATTTTATTTATGAACTAAAATTCATCAATGACTAATTAAATCCTTATATTCAAATTGCTAAGTTCATTAATTAATTACATTTGCTGAAATCTTGTAATTTGGTCTATGAATTAAACAAGTCAAATTATTCATTATTTAGATTTTAATTTTAATTCAAGTGTTATTCAATTGATTTGTCAACCAAATTCAATAAATTATTTATGAAATTAAATCTGGAATTATTTTTAATTTGTTCAAATTCATTTGTCAATCCTAATTTATATTGTCAAAATTCATATTCAATACAATTAATTTGATATATCAATTAAACAAGTCAAATTATTTATAAATAAAATATAACTTATTTATGTAAAGTTTATTTTTTAATTTAAATATGGATCATTTGATTTATCCAACAA